GCATGAATCTATGTAATTTTAAAAATATTGCAAACTATTCTATCAATCAGTTCTCATTTGATGGACATCTTAAAATGCTGTGCCCTTCAATAAAAATATACATTTACTATTTTATCGCCCGCACTGGGAAAATTTTCTGGGTTCGCCCCTGATTATGCAAGACCTATATCAACACGGTTCTTGTCTTCTTGAGATGGTACAAAATCGTAAAATGATTTTAAGTTAAATTAATGAGACTGTTTCAAAACTCCTGAAAAAACTCTAGATACGAAGAGCTCAAAACCACCAAGAGTGTTCATGTTGCACATGTGAATTTCTCAATGCTTTTGAACCTAACCTAGCGTTGATCCAGAAAAAATAAAGGTCCCAATTAATTTAGGTTGCCTTCCTCCATTGTCATATGTGGACATTATTATCCTATCGTCTGAGCTAACAGATGAACATCATTCTCAAATTTTGATACAGAATGCATTTTTTAACTCAGAAAACAAAAGGCTGCATCACAAGAAAAAAAAACCCTCAAAGACTGCTGGAAATTGGAAAGACGTGCTTTTTTGAAGTGGTTGCACTCGCCATGCAGATTGCAGAGTGCATCTTCTCTCAAGCAAAGCAGTTAAGCAGATATATGGAAAATGTCCAGAAGACGACTATTACTGAAGTCTCCTTGTAATGAACGTTTCTCGACATCACGGGAATTCAATTTACTTTTGACATCTGTTAATCTACACCGCAAATTTGCCTTCTGATGTATAACTAAACCATCACTGTCCTCTTAAAATGCAGATCCATCTCTTGGATATTCCCCTGGAAAGTTCATAAAATGCACAACTTTTTTCGAAAGTCACTTGAGATAACCTTTAGGGGAACTTCTCTGATTGTCATTTCACTTTCCTCACACTTCTCTAAATGTGAGGTCCCAGAATATTCAAGAAAAGGGGAAAGGGGCGAAACTTCCTCCAAATCTGATGATCGTGTACATTCAGGCATGAATTTTGTATTATACAAGTGGTGTGCGGTCCCGTGGTTCAGTTGCTATTGAAACCTACTTGAACTAGATCTTCCAACTATCACACTCAAGGATGGAATGGCGAGCTTTAGTTAATGTGGAATTAGGAGAAAGCTTCGCTTGAGGCAATCTGTTGTCCAACTATCGCACTCAAGGATGGAATGGCGAGCTTTAGTTAATGCGGAATTAGGAGACAGCTTCGCTTGAGGCAATCTGTTGATGACATGGACTTCAGCCATCATCCAATCTGCCAGGCTGCAAGTGAAGGATGCACCTAGCCTTCACTTCTGCTAGTTACCATCAACAGCACTTCAATTTGAGAACATGAGGAAAAATAGCAATTGCTAAAGGTACTTCAATTATTGTGGCCACAGAAGATTTCCAAGGGTCCTGGGGCACCCAATGTTTTAACTGTGAATGGCTAGGTATAGATTCAAATTAATGTGGATGGTAATCGGGTTTCGAATGGGTAACGTGAATTCTGAAATTATCCATCCAATATATTATCACTTACTCACCTGATAGGATCCTGTTGCAAAAGCAATCCACCCAACCAGATTAAGAGCAAAAATTGAAGAGGACAGAAGAAATACAGCTCAAGCTGGAATTGTATTCTCTAATTCTGTATTTGTAATAGAAGATAGGAATGAAACTCTGCTATGGAAATTAACAGCAGTTTGTAAAGCTATCATTATCTGTAATTCATCAACATTGAAATTAAAGGATATTTGGACATTCGAGAGGTTTAATTCTCTCCCTAGATACTACCAGATTCTGCCTGCTTTCCTCTCTATTTTTCGGTCTATTTATAATGGCTCTCTAACTAATTCTCCAGCTGCATCTGTTACTTGCATGTGCTGCTAACTACCCTCATTCATTTTCCTATTCTGCCCTCGTTATTTTATTACGTCTTGCGTATGTGAATTGAATTGGGTGTCTATCAACTCCCTCTTAGATTTGGCATGCATTTATGTCTTTGGAATATAACCAGTGGTCACCGCATGAGCAAATCCCGTTCTTGAAGGGATGAAATCGCTTCACGTCTCTTACGACAATTTCTCTCTTCACTATTAAGGAAATAAATTTTGTCGCTTCATGGCAGTCCCCACGTACTCTGAGGTTCTTTGTTATCAGCAATCTGTTTCCTGGCCTGGTGTTCAACGGCCCAAAAGCAATAGCAAGTCATTCACTGTGATTATTCAATATATTTATTTTTACTTCCTCTTCGATATTGTGAAACACAAATTCAGTCTTTGGTACATAACCAATAGCTATCATTTCATGCTCAAGCTCCTCCAAAATTTCCATAATCATATCATATTGAGGATGACTTTTATCTTCCACAAGAAAAGCGTGGAGTCTTCCATTCACTTCCACAATACTACAGCCAGGTACTTTTTTTGTCCCCTTCTCTTTCATGATCTTCCTTACCGTAGCCACTTCATCCCACTTCCTTGCCGCTGCAAAGAAATTTGTAACTAGAGCATAAGTTCCTGTACTATCCAGGTTTAGCTCTAGAATCTTCTTTGCTGCCGGCTCTCCAATAGAAAACTTCTTATGATTGTGGCAACCTGCCAGAAGGGCAACCCAAACAGCCATCCCTGGCTCACATCTCATGGAATTGATCACATTCTGAGCTTCCTCGACTTGTCCAGCTCGAGCCAAAAGATCAACCAAACAAGCATAATGCTTCTCATCTGGTTGGATTTTGTATTTACAAAGCATGAGATCAAACCAGTATTTCCCTTCCTGTACTAATCCAGAATGACTCAATGCTGAGAGAAGAGAAGCAAACGTAGCATGGTCTGGTTCTAAGTTCGAATCTATCATTTGACAGAAAAGTGAGAGAGCTTCCTTTCCTTGTCCATGAATCCCATAGCTGGCTATCATAGTATTCCAACATATCACGTCCCTAGAACTCAGGAGATCATATATCGCACGAGCATAAGAAATTGATCCACATTTTGCATACATATCAATCAATGTGGTACCTAAAATTTGATCCATGTCAAGTCTTCGGACAGTATATCCATGTACTGATCGACCCAAAATTGAGTATCCAACTTGAGAGCATGCAACCAGAGCACTAACAAGCGAAACAACGTCTGGCTCAAACCCAAAATTCTGCATCTCAATCAACAATTCCAGTGCTTTTCCAGCAAAACCATTTTGTGTATACCCATAAATCAAAGTGCTCCAAGAAACAACATTCCGAGAGCACATGTTCCAAAATACACAAGAAGCAATCAGCAACTCTCCATTCTTGGCATACATGTCAACGAGGCTTGTATGAACTAGAACATCCGTGGGAAAACCTCTTCTAATCATATACCCGTGCACTGAGCAACCAACTTTTACGTTCCCAACATTAGAACAAGCCTGTATCAACCCTAACATCACAACTCCATCTCCTTCTAAACCCTCTTGCTGCATTCTTCGATACACATCAAACGCCTCTCTTATCCTCCCACTCTTCACATATCCATTTATCATCATGCTCCAACAAACAACATCCCTTTTAGGCATCCTCTCAAACGCACCCATAGCTTCATCCATTTTCCCACACTTAGCATACAGGTTCAGAATAGAGGAACCCACAAACACATCCTTCGCATATCCGGATTCCACCGCTTTTCCCCACAACTCAGTGCCCAACTTCAAGTCCAACAAACTGGTACACGCCTTGATAGCCACAGTAAATGTCGAGCTATCGGGTTTCACTCTTTCCAACCTCAACTGTTTGTAAAGGTTTATCACTTCAAGCGGACAATTTTGCCGTGAATAAGCAACGATCATTGCATTCCAAGAATCTAAGCTTCTTTTAGGCAATTTATCGAACAAATTACGGGCTAACTCAATGCAACCATTTCGGCTATACGATGATATCAATAGGGTATTAAGCGTTCCATGGCTAAAGACACCAGAAGTTATCATCAAGGCATGAATTATGGAAATGGTGGATCCGTCTTTACTGGTTAATAGGAAAGATTTAAAAATCTCTGGGAGCCGTTTTCTTGGAAGCATTATTATACAAGCTCTAAGAAATTTGGACGGAAACATGTGCAGGCATAAACAATCATGGGTAACATGCTGAAATAATAAATCAACTTCTACACAAGTTGTTACACTAGAGTACACAAAAAATTATACAACTAAAAACATCTAATAACACAATTAATATAGTATCGCCGTCTGTGGGAATCGAACCCACGACCACATGGTTAAAAGCCATGCGCTCTACCGGCTGAGCTAAGACGGCATTGATTTCACGAATTTCAAATAATATATATAAGGCAATAATTACAACCTCTAAAGTCATTAGAACTAAACAAAACTCTCGAACCGAACAAAACCGAACCGTGTGATTCTCCTTAAATTAAATACCCGAACATGTATCTAAATCAAGAATCGATCTCCCTAATTTTTTTAATTTTTTATCTTAAATAAGTCAAATTATTTTATTTTTTTCTAAATGAATTTGCTAACTAATCAATTTAGTTCAAACCTAAAGTATAATTTTACTATTTTCAATTTTCAGCCAACCTAGCTTAATCAAATTGATCTAAATTTTACCCAAATCTCTTATTCTACCGTAGTGTCGTTTCTGTCGTTATATTATTGTGAACTATCTTCCTCTTCTTATGATTTTAACAGTCAAATCTATGAAGAACTCTACAAAGAAATGTGCAAAAGATATCAACAGATGAGATTACATTATTTTGTAAGAGTTAAGATTGAAGATGTCATAGTCGAATTAACGTAGCGCTGTTGTAAATATAAGAAAAAAAAATTATTGTACGAACCTGAAAATCGAATCGAACCGAACCCAAACGATTTCATAATTAAATCTCGATCCGACGATTCCACTTACTAAATATTCAAAAATTCTGATCCGGTCAGATTCGATTAGATTCAAAACAACCGGAACATGTCCGGCCCTAAAACTATCCACATGGAAGCTGCCATTTCCAATGTCACTGGGAACGACTCAGGGATGGCGGAAATCTCAGAAGCTCCGTCAACTTCGAATTTGGATACGGGCTTCGACCCGGAAACCATGCGAAAATCCATGCCAGGATTGAAACGCCTCAGCTTAGCCCTCACTGTTCTCTTCTCTTTTCTCTTAGGTTAATTCTGACGTGTATGCATTGTGTTTTTATTGTGTTAAAGAATCGTGTTCATGTTAATTCATTTTTTTAATCTTTATTACAGGTCTTCCGTTCTTGTTAAAATCAATAGCGATTTACAGATCGCCACTCCCATTTCGCGAAATTGATGATTTATCCACCGCCATTGAATCGAGTCCAATTCTCTTTCCTTGCCATTTCAGAGCGGTATTTGTCGATTTTGACCCGAATTCATATACGGCTGATCAATTGTCGATTTCGGTTCAAGCCCACATGGCAAAATTGGCTGCAAAAAATTCCCCAACTTGTGTAACTTGTGCTAGTAATTTCACGGTCTATGTAACCCTAGACTCTAACTCCAACTGCATTAGTAATTGGAATAATGTGGATTGGAATTGTGGGGCATTGAATGAATTCAGATTTGCTGATAAACGTGATGATGGGCTATTAGACGAGTATTTGGAGTCTGTTTTTGATGATAATAGAAATGGGAAGGTTTATACGGTGGTAGTGGTGAAGACGGAAGAGGAGGAAGTGAGGGCAGTGGTGGGGAAGTATCGCCATGCGTGGATTATGGGTAGAGTTTTTGAGGAGGAGGCTGTCGAGAGATAGCGGAGATATTTGTTAAAGTGTTTGTGAATGGTGGGAAAGAGGAAGGATTGATTCCTGGGGAGTTTAAGCCGGTAGGGGCGGATGGGAGAATTGTGCTTTCGTTCAATTTGTTGAATGCTGATCCGCGTAATTGGATATATGATTGGTATGGAACTTCATTTAATGCTTTGTGAGCTTAGAGTACATGCCTGCAATAAAAGCTTTGCAATTTCGGATATGTTATGAATGAGTGACATTTCTAGTACATATTAGGAAATAAATCTAGTAGCTATTATCTCCAGAGTTTTTCTGATCTTCAAAAAGTAATTCTTTACTTATTTTGACTATGGTGTTTTAGAAAGATTGACATAATACAAAGAAGTCACTTTTCCTGCTGACCTTTTTTATTTTACATCTTTGTTTTTACAACACATTATTCATACAGACACGCATGATTTATGTTCATTCCCTTTGTTGGAGCTCTCTAAGAATATGGCAAATATGCATTTAATATTTGATCTTGTAGAGAGCCAGTCATAATATTTAAATCTACTGAATATTTGCTGCTGTAGAATGTAATCCATCTAAACTACTTAATTCTGCAGGGATTTCCAAGAGATAGATGAAAATCTCTTGGCTCCTATTATTGAGGCACTGAAACCTCTGGCAGATGTTAGCGTGGAGAGTCAGGTCATGATGCCTTTTCTTTTGTCTCATTACCATTTATTCAAGATACACTTGTAAAGTTTCTTCCAAATGTCTGGTTTTTCCTTTGGATTTCTAGATTACCTTTTGATGCATTATATTATTGTTGTCGATTTCATGTACAGGTTTTATATCACACTCCAAAGTCCTCACTTTCTTTTTGGGACGCGAAGCTGGACAGCTATATTTTCAGTACCAAAGACCTTCCTTTCTTTGTATGCTAGTCCTTCAACTTGCTTATTCTGGGAAATCTTATTTACTAGGGTAATCAGGAGAAGTAAAATGAAGATGTACCTAAGATCTATAACTTGGAGATATATTATGCCTTAATGCAATCCATGTTCGTTGTATGTGTGTATACTGATGTAAAAATGTATAATATAATATATTCACATGTATATTGACGTCCATGTGCACGCATGCTACCTATGCAGACTCAAGAATAATACTGACCTTTTCATTCTTTAATAATCAAGAATACTAGACAGTGTGTGATTAAGTTTTTCTGAATTTACTTGTACAAAAACTTGTGCTTTTGTTAATTCCCTGCCTATTCTTACATCTGCCACAAAAGATATTATTTACCATACAACCAAAAGATGCAGCTGCTAACCTACTTCCTTCATAATGCAGTTTTGCTCGTCACATTTTGATGTAATATGTCTAGTCGTGATTACTTATGGATGCTATTATATTTTTTGAATTTAAAGTTTATCATTGTATACCATTTATTTTCTTCATTCTGTAAATTGTTGAAGTTTTCTTTGGTGACATATGTTGGCTCCTTAGTCAAGACCTTGGTTAGCTTAATTTTTCTTAAGTCGCCGGATAGTAAATTCTTATTTGTTCATGCTTCATAGGCGAATTCAAATGAGTGGCATTTGGATACTTCAGTTGCAGCAGGCGGGAGATCAAAAATTTTGCAGTTTGTGGTGTATAATCTTTAACTCTTTTACTTTTTTCAATGACTATCTCCCGTGAAGATATTATGTAAATATTTATCAAAACATTAGCCAGGGTGAGCTCTAAGAATTTTGAGGCCATTGAAGACTAATTTTTCAGAGGCCCTTAAAACACTTTTTGTTTTTTTTGCAAGCCTAATAATATTTAAATAAATAACATACTTATATTTAAACGAATACTTTTTACAATCTAAAAAATATACTTGAACAGAATTTTTTTATTTTTGAGGATAACTCAACCTTTTTATTTAGCACTAGTTTTTTGGTTTAATGAAAGGATACATGACATGCCATCCCTGGGAATTAATTAAGAGCCTATTTGTTTTGGATTAAAATTTGATTTTAATGTAAGTCAAAGTCAAGCAATCAATATTAATCACATCTTTCATGGTCCCACAATTTTTCAACCACATATTTCAAAAATTTTTATCACAATTTACTAAAAATTTAATTTTAATCCCCACCAAACACCCTCTAAATAAACAAATACTGAGAGCCCAAATGCATGTTTTTTCTCTTCTAGCCTAATCGTCTATTTTTCATCCGAGACAATTTTCCATGAATATTTGATATGGTAATTGGCAAGTTCTCCTTTTACGCCCTGTTTGAACCACCTTATTGTATAATGAGAATGAAAAATATAGCCGTTATTGTGGCCCACATAAGAGATAGAAAATTTGAATTTAAATATTGATGTGATGGATAACGTCATTTTAATGAGATAAAAATGTGGCCCAAACGGGGGCTTAACCTCTCTAATTGTTGGCACTTTTGAAACCTCATACCAAAGCATCCCATTTCACCAAAACTAATATTCACATTTAGTCCAATCTTCTCTTGGCATCTGAAGAATTTGGGTTTCTCGCATCACTTTTTTAGCCCAAGCTAGAAGCCTCCAACACCCCATTTGGACTTTGGGGCACTAATGATGGAACAATGCCAGTAGCCATATTTGCAGTAATGGAATTCAATGCACTTCAATACTCGTCCCTTCTCTACTCTTATGAAAGCAGATAGTGTCCTATCAATGTCCATTGTCTGTATTTCTTCCCTTGAAACATACATTGCTATTGCTGCAGCTAATTCAGATGGCCTCCAAGGATAAAGATTTTGATTTTTGAATCCAAGTAATTCACCTTCAAGAAAAGATGGAAGAGAGAGAGAGAGAGAGACATGTTTTAGGGTAGTGTGTGTGTGTGTGTTTTTTTTTTGGAGACCCCCAAACTGTTGAGGCCCTAGGCCTTGGGTCAGGGCCGGCCCTGACATTAGCGTATAGTTGTTCCTAATATTCAGATATTGTAGTTAGCTACAGCAATGCCCAGCCCGCCCCCAAAAAAAAAAAATGAAGAAGAAGGGGATATGCTATACTTTCCGTTTTGAAAAGTAAATAAATGAATTTGTAAGTAGATGAACAACTCGATCTGTAACCTTCAGTTACGTCTCACAAATATAATTTGTTATGTTTCCTCTTTCCATCATAATGCAGATATGTACCATCTGCAAAAGAGTGCCCTCTTCGGTTGCAGCTTCCAAATGGAGAGATTTCCACAACAAATGGCTTTATATCTCCTGTGAGTTATATGCTTTCACATCATAATTCCTTCTCTTTTTCATTTTGCCGTTCAAAGTCTTAGCAGTTTTGAATATGTCATTTCCCAGATGTGGGGTGGAATTGTTGTTTGGAACCCTTCAGCCTGTTTGACGGATTCAAAAATTAAGCATCCTCTGAGACATAAGATTTCTCCTGAGGTTGGTAGCTGTTGTGCCCTGACTTTCAGACTTTAGGTTTCTAACTCAAATATATTTTACTTATTCTTCCTCTTTTTTTCATGCCATATTTTCTCAAGAACACATAGTGACAGCTACTTCATTTTATTTTAGTTGGACTAGTTTTTAAATGTTTCATCTTTTCTGCCTTTTTTGGTGCTTAGTGTCTAGAAATATACTCCATGTGCCTTATAAATAGCTTCTATTACAGTATTACTTCACTTGAGATTAATACATGTGTTTTTCTGAAAACAGGAGTCAAGGAAAGTTTTTGAAGTTTTCATGGGGCAGTTGCGACAACTCTTTGGTTTGAAATCTGATGGTCTCTTTGTTGGTGCATCAGGCACATCTGCACTTTTAGCTAGTGAAAGAGGGTTTTCAGAATGGTGAGACATCACCCTAATCCCTATCAATGCATAGGAAGGAAAGACATAGGACTTTAGCATATTTTACCCGTCAGTAGTCTATTGAACAACTTCATGCGGGAAAAAACGGGAAAAGAGGATTAAAACTCAGGTGTCACAACAAGTATCATCTAATATGTTTTCTCTATTTCTAGAAATGGTGTAGTTCTTGTGATTCTTTGCACCTACGAACAGATTATCTTTACGATACGTGTAGCGGATTTGGACACTAAGAAGGCACGTTGTAAAATTCTACTTTTCTTTGTGTTATGTTTTATTACTTCTTTTAATTTTGTATATTCTCTGCAATTATCTATTTGTTTTATCGTTACCTTGTTTAATTCATTGGCTAACTCAATATTAACATTCACCATTGGTTTATATATTAGCTCGAAAATGGTGAATGTAAATAATTAGCAAAATGGATGATATAGCATTTGTTTATAATTAGCAAAATGGATGTATCATGTTATATACCTCTGCATGTTTAATTGTGATCATTCAGTGAAGCCTGGTTGTGACCATGTTGTTAATTTCCATGCTTTAAGGGAATTGGATGTGTTGTCACGGCAGCACTCATGTTTTAATCTTCTTCAATGTGGCACAACTCTAGGATCACTTTCTCGATTGGTATGTGATTAGGTCTTAATTATTTATTATGATATTATGAGTATTTGGTTATAACTAAATTTTCCATTCAGGTTCAATCACTTCCAAGAATGATCATTATGGACGATATAGGAAAGCAGGTAACTATTGCCTATGAAAGTGGTCTGGGATAATCTCTATATGTTTTCTGGCTCTTATTATCTAACGCCGTTATTCAGTCATTTATTAGCAATTTTCTCTGAATCTGAATAAAAATATGGTTGGCTTGATTAGTATTTATTAATAAGTTGGGTCTTGGAGAAGGCACTATGATTAGTATATTTTATTTGGTTTTATCTTTATCATATTGTTATATTTTTTGTTTCCATTCTGCTGAATGTGAGCATGTTGATATACGATAGCTTGTAACTTCTAATTTTCTCTAGTCATCTTTCCTTTTCTATACTTTCCAAGAAAGAGTTACCGATGATGTCATTCTTTTACATGTCTATTTGTTAATTATACTCGTCTTCCTAGCTAGATACTGATGTTTATAATTCCAAAAATAAGATAAAATGGTCCAATCAATTTATATAACTCTCTTTAGAGAAAATTGTAAAATTAACTATGAATAAATATTTTCCTAATATCTTTTTCTTTTCTTGCTTCATATTAGCTTGATTGGCCTTGTCAAAATCCTGAATAAAATGATACCAAATGTAGAAGTTATTTTTGCTTTGAACTGCACTTGTTTCAATTCTAATTGTTTTGGTGCTTCGCTTTGTGGTTCTTATTTTGCTCTCATTTGCTTTAGGAAATTCCTTTTTCATGGCATTTCCTCCTTACTTGTTAGTTTGATTTATGTTCTTCTTGTAAAAATCAGTAACACTTGATTCTGTAACATTATTGAGCAGGGGAAGTATTCTCTTGAAGCTGCAAAATTGACTTTAAGTAACGCATCGCTCGGAATTTATGATGCTTCTGCTGGTATGTTTTAATCAATCTGCAATTTGGATATGATTGTTATCAAACACCTTCCTTCAAGTATGCTATCACTTAACTCTACTTCTTCCCAGAGTCCTCGAGACAAGCAAGATTATTGGCAGAAGATGCATTTTATCACCCATCTATGATGTCTGTCGGCTATTTCTCATTTGAGCACTGTTTTGCCGTCTATTCGGTTCGTTCCCTGACACTGACATTCGTTTATATTGATTATTAGATAAGTTCATCTTGGTGTTCCCAGAGGTAGACAGGAGAACAAGGTCTGGATAATGATCAAGAAATAACATTAGTGATTTTTTTGGAGAATATGTGGTTAAAAAGTAAGGAAATTGGGGAAACATGAAAAATGATTTTTTTTTTTTTTGGAGAACAAGTGGTTGAAAAATGGGTATGGGGAAAAGTGATTTTTAAATAATCACTTTCAAACAAGGGCTAAGAACAATACTTGTGCAATTCTAAGTATGTTTGGAATTCAACTGAAGACCTTGTTTTGATACATTTGCACATTAACATACTTTGTTCCTTATTAATAACATATTTAGCCCATGTTTGGTGTAGCTTAAATAGTTAGATAAAAATCAAAGTCAACAATTAATTTTAACTGCACATTTCATCAATTTTTATTGAAATCTACAAAAAAATTTGATTTTTAGCTACACCAAACATGGGCGTAGTTAGTACTACCATTTCTTCGAGAGAGAAGGTTTAGAGACTCCGGGCGCTAAACTTAAGGATGATTTTCATAACTAGAGCCGGAAATCTGGAGGGGTCTAGAGGATTCTTTGATGCAATGATATCGATCAAATCTGCTAAAAACCAAAGTTTGTTCTTATGTAATAGTATTCTTTTATCTAAAATAAGGTACGAGCCTATGTAATAGAAGAGATCTTGATTTTTTATGCTCCATGTTCATGTTGATCTGTACCTTAATTTATCTTTAGTACTTGTTAAATTAGGTTCTAATTGTCTAGTTAGTTTTATCTTGTATTGTTCCATGTTTCTCTTTCCTGGGGCAAGTACAAATGAATCATCTGAGCAACTTGAAGTTGTGCATTTGACGAGATGTTTGTTTTTTATTTGGTGCTAATAGACGTAGTGTTAGAGTTCTTGCTTGAACTCTGATGATTAGTCTTATAATTTGCCTCTTGTTATTGGACAGCCCTTCTTTCTGCCAGTGTCGCTGCATGTGCTTCTTGCGGTCCTTAGAGAATGGAAAAGACACAAGCAAGAAAGCAAAAAATATAAAGCATGGAAAGCCAATGTAGCATCTTTTAGCTATTGATTTCTCATTTGACACAGGAAATTTTCATGTGAAGAGATCCCTTATTGGGGCTGGCCTATATGTCTCAGTTGCTTGAGCTTCTCGCCTCTCTTATATCTCATCCTAGCAAAGAGTGCTCACAGCTCCTTCTCAGCAATAACGACAATTTTCTGTAAAAAAGCTGTACCATGACCCATACATTGTAACTTAAAGATAGGTTAGGTTGGGTTGAAACTTGAAACTGTTGATTCAAGTCTATCTCTAGCCGTAGATACTTCCATGAATCATATGATATAAAAAATTTACGCCATAATATCACAATTTTGAATGAAAGGGTCACAAATGTATGGACTAAAACCCAAGTATTCTTATCAAATTTTCTTAATCTTTACGAATACGATGATGCATACATATTAAACAAATTGGAAACGCACGAGGAGCCTTACATGTCTGTATCTATTTCCACTTCTATCATGTAATGGCACAGATCTAATACCAGGTCTCAACTCTGAAATTGGCAAACATGTTTGGCCAGCAAACTCGTGTTCTTTAAGCGTATCATAATCATTAACTATGATAAGAAGTAAAGCCAGTTCAGGAACACGCAGCTCAAATGTAAACTCCTGGTCCCACATTGGTTCCCACTGATCATCGATTTTCCGTGTACTTATCTTAATTGAATCCGCTGCAACTCCAATTACACTCATCTGCATAGTTATGAGTATAATTCTGTAAGTTTAACGTGTTAAAACAATGGTGAACAGATAGCTTGATGAGGACATATGTACATGTCACTTGTCTCAAAACTCGATAAGGATCATAGGATTTCCCATGCCATAGCTGCACAATCACTAAGAAAAATACGAGATAAAATGTTCCTATTTATCAAAAAATTCTGTTATAGGTCCTTTCTTTATTGAATAAGATTGATGATCTAGTTTCTATTCTGAAGCACATGAGATTTCACCCAACGCCATCTGTCACGTGAGCATCTTACCTCAGCATACAAGTCCGGCGGGGAAAACCAATCGAAATGTGTAAGATAGAATTCTCTAAGCCAGCCCTCTCCCATGTATATTTTTACCTGTCACAAATGCATACATTTAAAATTAAAGCCATGCAAAGAACACACACCGACTAAGAAATTTACACCTTCAGAGTTTTCTTGACTTCTAATGGCTCTGCGCGGCTTAGATCACGAACTTCGCCAAATGTTAAGAAATCTGGTTTTTTCACATAACCGCATCCACCATTGGCTCGAAACATTCCTTGCATTATCCAAAGGTACTTATCATCTCCCTGTTTGGTCAAGCAATTTCAGTTTTTCCCCAGAAATAGGAACTTGAACACCAAGTTGAAGAATTTTGCAGAGAAATATAGCCCCAAGTATGTTAATTGGGAATGATGGTGAAGTAAAATGTAAGATCTGATGTAAAGAACTATGTATGTTACTAAAAACGATTTGTAGCATACAAAGCTACCTGCATGTTGAATGCAACCATCTGAGCTCCATGAGTCCAGCCAACAAAAGGATTATAGTTGGATGAATCTACGCGTGAACCCTTGGGATATATCCTCAGAAAATTTTGTTGGGTAAATCTAAAGAGTAAAATTCAAGAATGACCATCAAGTTGTTGATTAGTGGTTGATCACATAAGACGCAACGATGTTCTAAACTCGAATATAAACATCTACAACACACAAGTATACATTAAATAATCCCAGTACTAGCATAAATCTAATTACATAAGGCCTTTGAAATGAGTTAAAAACACTGGTGGTCATTAAACTTTAAACAAAATTTTATATTGGTCACTGGCAACCTAGATGGCAAATAACTGGACTACAACTGATGGATAAGAACAGATTGATCGAATCGTTACACAGTTTAAAAACTCAATAACCAGCTTGAAGCAAAACGAAGTTTATGGAGTAACCAACATGAAACTACGCAATGACGACCTATGTTATAATTCTCTGCCTAGTCTGCATATTATTGTTTTTTGACAAGTGAATTCAACATTTTCCAATCTATTTCAGATGCTAACTGTGATTCAACACGAAAATAATCAATTACCGCACAAGATGGTCTCCATGGTCTTTTGCAACATCCTTAAGCTCTTGCTCACTAAGGCTAAGACGCCTAACTTTTCCTCGCTCGGCTCTCAATGATTCTCCTATGTTACTCCTCACCTTCTCGGCATGGATACCAATCAAATGCAAATATTCAGGAGATGAATATTGTAAAGCTTCTTCTTCGTCTTCGCCCAGATCATATAACTGATCCTGCTCGCACATAAGGGGAGTCTATGGTTAGAGAACCAAGAAATCTACAGTAAGCAAGATAAAATATAACTAAAAAAATTGTTCTTAATTTCAACATAAGAACAGTTTCAAGTTTCTTAATATTCATTGGTTTTCCCTAGGGAGAATCCACCTCCTGTAAGTTCTGCACTCTATTTTCACTCTGAGATTCTAGATGTTCTTTGGGTGGTTTAGTTGAGATAATAATTTTCTTCTTCAATTCTTCCGGTGAAGGGAACTCCTGAGAATCTGGCTTGGGCTGGTACAGCATTTCTCCAAATATTCCTTTAACCATCTGCACAAAAAATACAGCATAAACTTAAAATTATGTTCTTAATTCATCAACATATTTTCCAGCTGAACATAGTGCAAAGAAATGATTATTCACACTCTTAAACGTACTAATCCACCCTGTGGTAATTTTTATGCCCTTAAACTATAGTCACGCCCCCCCCCCCCCCGGGGGGAGGGGGGGGGGGACGCTCTCTCAAAGTACCCAGCAGGTAGATCATAGATGCTACCCTTTTTTCTCTTTTCAATAGGCTCCATGCGTTCTATGATTCAATAGGTTACCTTCTTAGCTTGAAACTTTGTCAATATCGTACTAACTAAATTCACGATGGGTGTACATGTACAATTTACATACATCCCAACGTAGCAAAAATGCAACAATTAAAGAAGAAAGTAACCAAATTGAAGTTTCTGTGAATACAAAAATCCTATTGGAGAATTTTTACCATGTTTCTGCGATTATAGGCAGGGGCGAAATTCAGGTTTTGAATTCAGCTAGGGCGGAAAATGTTGACCGTCGACAATCAACGATCGTAATAGCCCGATCGTTTATTAAAACTCGATTAAATAATATTAAAAGTTATTTAATATATAAGTAAATGCACTAAAACATAAAAAATATATACATATAAAAATATAATTCAATACAAGTCAAAATATTAAAAATAAAAATATACGATACAACCTTACAAATTTATATAACTGCATTTTACTCATATTTTAAAAACGTCGTAACAGTGCCTCATTTTCAAGTTTTCTGAAAATAATTAATTTCACTGTCTTAGAAAAAAAATTTGGCCCAACTTCTTTTCTCAATTAATTTTTTCTACTTATCCTAATTTCCTAAACATAAATTCCCAAATCAATTCAAACAACACAATTTACAGACAATATACATTCAACAATCCAAATAGAAGTAGCCAACAAAATAGAACAAAAACAAAACCAAAACAAAGGAGAGAGAAAGAGTAACTGTAAGGGAAGTTACACGTCGTTGGCGGTGCCGACGACTTTCTCATTGTACTTGCAGCCTTGCCCATCGTCACCCGTGGAGTGACCGCGTCGGTAGCACCGTAGTAGCAGCTGGTTCGGCCTTCGATTTCAAATGGAAATCATGGAATCAATCAATCAATGGAACTAGGAATTTAGGGAGGGTAGGGTTTGCGGTTTCAGCTTCAGTTCACAATTTGGAATCTGATTGGAGAGAGTTGGATTTGGATTATTGATTTAGGGGAAATACATATGAAATACAATGGATTGTGGACCATGATTCATTCATTGATTTGGGCCGGCCAGGCTCAGGAGCCTAATATTTTTAAACAAAAAAGAGGCCCATGTCAGTTTCATCACTTATCAACCCAACAAAAAAAAACATTAGCCTAACCGGTCATCATCACTTTCCCAGTTTCCCTCCTCTGCAACTGCAAGTCTGCAACTGCAAACCTGGCGGTCCTGATTCCTGAAGTCATTCCGGCAGATCCAGCACGGGCGGCCGCGAAGGCTAGCCAGGTGCTGGATCCGCCCCCGATTATAGGCCTGATTTTTTGCCAAGGATTTGTTGCACCTCAAACATAAAAAATACCCAAGAACCCAAAATAACATCAAGAATCGATTGTGTTTGGGCTCAGAACAAACATTGTACCCTTATGTACAAAACAAAATATCCACAGAACCCTAACCCTAGCTACTTCAATGGACCAAGAGCAACCTAACCGATCTCAACTCTGAACCTTTAATCAAAGAATCACTTAGACTCAGAACATACAGACTCACCCCAAAACCAGAGATTTTAGGGTTGCCCAAAGTAGACGAAAAAAAGGAACGAGCAGAGATGGAGAGAAAATCAATTACGGCAACCACTCAGCACTTAAATACAAAGCCATCATCATGGATTTTTAGTTAGTGATCAACGGTCCAAAGTAGTAGACGTATCATACTATTTTGGGCTCAAGTTTCGGCCTATTTCATTTTGTGTTATCAGGCAATGGAAAATATAATACCGGCAAGTGGCCTTAGCACAATTTCATCATAACCCATGGACTGAACCATTATAAATGGCATCACAGCCCAACAAATATCCCCCTTGTTGCCAATGATCAAAAAATGAAGTTAAGAAGAAAAAAACTCTTCGGAACACTTGATATTAGTTTCTCTATGATCATTAGCACCAACTTAATTCCTCCTGCAACATCACAAAGATTATCTAGTATCAATTCTTAGCATTTATAAACATGATTTAAACTTGTTGGAAGGAAGTACCTTGGTTCCCATGTCAGCGGGATTGAATGGTGTTGGGATTCTTTCAAGTAATATGAATTCTTTTTTAATTTTGTTTCTGAAGAAGTGCATCCTAACATCTATATGTTTAGTTTTGTCATGGAAAATAGGGTTTTTACATAACTGGATAACACTTTGACTATCAGAATAAACTACTACAGGGTTTACCAATCCATTTAATTCACATAACAAACCTTTAAGCGATCAAAAATTCTTTAATGGCTTCAGTAACAACCATATATTTTGCTTCTGTGGTAGATGAAGCAACAATACACTGCAATTGAGACTTTCAACTTATGCAAGTATCACACAAAGTAAACATATAAGTTGTGGTTGATTTTTTGTTATCTATATTACCAGTATAATCAGAATCTACATGTTCTCTCAAGATAACTTTCTCTTTACAAAATTTAAAACACAAACCTAAATCAGCAGATCCTTTTAAGTATCTCAATAGCCATTTTAAGGTTGCCCAATGTTCAGGACCAGGATTTGCCATAAACCTACTTAATATACTTATAGCATGGACAACATAATGTCTAGTACGTACCATAGTATACATTACCGACCCTACAACATTAGCATATGGAACATTTTGAATGTATTTAATATCAGATTCATCATAAGAACATTGATCTTTACTCAGTTTAAGATAACATGCAAGAGGCAAAGTAACAGACTTGAATTCATGCATAGCAAACTTAGATAACACATTTTTCACATAATTAGATTGTGTTAAAATAAGAGAGTTGGGATCTATTTCTTTTAATGTCCATTTCTCAAATTCTTCACCTAAGTCTTTCATTTTAAATTCTGTACTTGAAGCTCTTTTTATGTCATTAATATCACTTATATTTTTGCCTATCAACAACATATCATCCACATACAAGAGCAGATAAACAATCAGAGTTGCTATCATTCTTTTAAAATAAAAACAATGATCAAAGGAACTTCTTATAAAGCCAACTGATGAAATAAAGTTATCAAATATCTTGTACCATTGGCTAGGTGATTATTTTAGACCATATAAAGATCTTTTTAAAAGACAAACATGATTAGGTCTTATAGTATCAATGAAACCCCGTGGCCAATAGTTTTAACATCCATTTGTTTACGTTCTAAGTCATATTGTGCAACCAAAGCAAGCATGACTTTTATTGTAGTATATTTAGCAACAAGGGAGAATATTTCATTGTAATCAATCCCAGGTTTTTAAGTAAATCCTTTTGCCACTAATTTGGCTTTAAATCTAAAGAGCAGTTTAGGAGAATTTCCCTCCTTAATACTATAGATCCATTTATAGTCTACTAAAGACTTATTCTCAGGTTTGAGAACTAACTTCCAAGTATTATTTTTCAAAAGGGACTTCATTTCTTCTTCCGTAGCAAGCTACTACTCTTTAGAGAGTTGACAACTTATAGCTTCCTCATAGGACTTAGGCTCTTGAAAGGCCAAGTCTTGATGTGATATGATAGCAAGGGATAGATAATCATTCAACCTAGCAGGTTCTCTTATCTCCCTTCTAGTCCTTTCCCTAACAAGTGGATAATCACCTAAAGAATTATCCAAATTACTAATAGATTCTTGACCACTGCCTTCTTCAGGTTCATGAGAATCTCAAAGATCATCACTTTCTTTACTAATTTAATTTCCAATTTGATCTTCATTAATGAGTTCAGGGGAGGACCCCAGCTCCACCTATAGCCTGGCCCTTTTCTCTTCTTCACTCTTAGTAATATCATTTAAAACCCTTTCACTCAGAGAAGGCATCCCAGCTTCATTAAATGTCACATTTTTACTGGTTATCATTTTAAATCTCTTATTCTCTCTAACCCAAAATATGTACCATTTCACCCCTTCAGGTTGAATACACATTTCTGGGACCTAAGTTTCAATTTGTCCAAACTTTGGTGAGAGTAAGCCACACAGCCAAAAGTTCTCAAAAAAGTATAATCATCCAGTTTACCTAACCATACTTCCTTAGGTGTTATCCCATGTAAGGAACTAGTAGGGGTTCTATTCACAATATATACAGCTACGATAACATCCTCACCTGATAGTACTTTGGGAACTCCGGAACTAATCATCACGCATCTTACTTTATCTAAAATGGTCATATTCATTATCTCAACAACACCATTTTGTTGAGGGGTATATGGAACAGTCTTATGCCTTAGGATTCCATCATCTTCACAAAACTGATCAAATTCAGCATTACAAAATTTCAGACCATTGTTTGTCCTTAAAATTTTGATCTTTTTATAAACTTGATTTTCAATTAAAGTTTTTCAAGTTTTAAACTTTTTAAAAGTATCAGACTTTTGTTTCAAAAGAAATACTCAAATTTTTTTTTAGAAAGTCATCAATCAAGGATTAAAAAAATATTTATTTCCACCTTGAGTGGTGGTAGATGATGGGCCCCACGGGTCAGAGTGTATATATTCAAGGATAGATGCAATTTTATGCTTTCCAGTATTAAAATGAAGCATATGCTGTTTGCCTAAAGTACAGTACTCATAGATAGGAGAAATAATATCTTTATCAAATGCCCCCTTCATCTTTAAAATGTACAGGTCTTTCTCACTAACATGTGTCAATCTGTTATGTCATTTCAGAGTTGCATCAATTTCAGCATTGGAGGATACAACAATGTGACTTAGAACAACACTGACTCTAGTGACATATATATCATTTCTTTTGGTACCTTTGAAATAACTAAAAACCCTTAATTACTTGCAAAAAACCATTTCCAATTCTACCTCGCAGACCTATGTCATCTAGATTACCCATTGAAATTAAGTTTCTATTCGAATTAGGGACATACCTTACCCATTTTAGAGTAAATGTGTATCTATCTTCAAATTTCAAAGTCACACTACCAATCCCCTTAATTTTACAGGCAACATTATTGCCCGTAACAACCTCTTCTCCATCAAGATCTTCATAGTCTTCTAACCAAGGTCTTCTAGAGGTCATATGGAAAGTGCAACCTAAATCCAGAATCCACTCAAAATTTTGATCATCGTTATCTGCATAATTTACAGTATTCAGATCGGTGGTGGATTCTATCACAACTTAGACATCTACAGTCTTATCATCTAAGGGGTTCAACAACATTTCTCTCATCTACTTTCATATCTCTCTGTTCATTATTTTTCTTATAACAGTTCTTTATAAAATGTCCTATTTTTTCACACCCATAACACTTCCTATTTCCATTTCTAGACATTGACCTAAACCTTCCTTTCCCTTTCTTCTTAGAAGTACTATTCTCTTGATTACTCTAACTGCCCTGATTACCATGCCTAGTAAGAGACCTACCTCTCACAAACAAACTTTCTGATTCCTTCCCATTTCTTTGATCTTTAAGTTCCAATTCTTTACTTCTTAAAGAATTTATAATAATTTCAGGAGTCAATGTATCTCTGCCATATTTAATGGCAGTTTTGAAAACTTTATATGCCTCAGGTATGGAATTAAGGTGTAAAAGCTTTATATTCCTCATAAACTTTATGTCCAACATTAGTGATATATTGTACTAATTTATTAAAGGTATCAAGATTATTATCTAAGTCTCTAGACAGATCAATCTTAAAGCTAAAAAATCTCTATTGAAGGAAAAGTTTATTAGTTAACGACTTAACCAAATAAAGTTCTTCTAGTTTGTCCTGCAAGGTTTTAGCATTATCAAGTTTCCCTACTTTTCTCAATACTTTTCTTTGTTCAGCAGTCATGAAAATCACCTGTTATAGCCTTTTAAACTTTCTGTTGAATAAGGACTCCTCTCATTTTTTGCTGTTAATTGGGGAAATCCCTTTTTCCATTAAAAACTCCAAGTTCAAACGTAGTAGTCGCCATTTGAAGTTTTTAATCAACACAAGAAAAAAGTTTGAAGTCCACGTTCAACAGCAGAGAATATATACTAAAAAAAAAAATTTTAATGTTAAACAACACAAAGTGTCACACAAGATTTGGAGAATTAAACAATTCAAGCAGATGATCGCAGTGAAAAAAAATAGTATTAATGCAAATAATAGGCAATTCCTTCAAGTTTTATGTGTTCGAACTCACCAAAACTCCTTGAGGCTCATCCAAGAAGGGGGAAATATAGGAATCAACTTACTTAAAACACAAAGTATGAAGATGCCAAGAAAAATAATAGGGTTAGAAATTTAACCACCGGATTCAAGTAACGCCGACAAAGTACCTAGGTGTTTTCAGAACGATTCACAGAAAGCCTAAGATCTGAATTCTTCCTTCAAGATTCAAGCAATAATCGCCAAAGAACCAATATCTCCCAAAGAATCACCACCAGAAACCACGATCCATCAACAATAGGATCTATGGTTTCCCCCAACCGTCAAGTTTTTTCAGATCTGGTTGTGAAAATTAATTTTGCACAAACAGATCTCGAACGAAGGGACACAGAACCACCCAGAACGCTGTGATACTACCGTTGCACCTCAAACATAAAAAATATCCAGGAACCCAAAATAACACTTAAGAATTAAAATATCAATAAGGGATCATCAACATCAAGAATCGATTATGTTTGGGCCCAGAACAAACATTGTACCCTCATATACAAAACAAAATATCCACATAACCCTAACCCTAAAATAGAACAAACGAACGCAACTACTTCAATGGACCAAGAGCAACCTAACCGATCTCAACTCTGAACCTTTAATCGAAGAATCACTTAGACTCAAAGCACATAGACTCACCCTAAAAACCAGAGGTTTTAATGTTACACAAAGTAGACGAAAAAAAGGAACAAGCAGAGATAGAGAGAGATTCCAGAAGCCTCTCACGCATATCAGATGAGAAAATCAATTATGGCAACCACTCAGGTCACTTAAATACAAAGCCACCATCACCATGGATTTTTAGTTAGTGATCAACGGTCTAGAGTAGCACACGTATCATCCTCATTTGGGCTTGGGTTTGGGCCTATTTCATTTTGCGTTATCAGGCAATGACAGATATAATACTGGCAAGTGGGCTTAGCCCAATTTAAATGGGTACTTGTAGAATTAACTAATGAAGCTATATGGCTTTGATACCACATAATAATCTCATCTAAGAGTTTAAGCGGTTAGAGATGAACTATGTGCATTCATTAAAATCTTGTCACGTGCAAACAGAAATCATTTCTTATCAAATGTTTGACACGTGCACAATAACCATTTCTAAGATTAAGCTGCTAGAGGAACCACCTATATTAATTTTAAATCTTGTCTTCATGAAGATGCTCCACTTTAAAGTGAGTAAGATTGTTACCCCTACATTTTCTAGATTAATATATATTTACCTGGGCTACTTTAGTTTGAAGTTCCTGTGGAAGGTGGTCTTCAAAAGTTATAATGACAGGATACGCGGAAGCTGAAAATGCATTATCCTTAATAGCGATCAAACATTTGCTTAGCTTGACCGGAGCGGTGAATGTCCTGAGTTTGCAAACAAAATGAATAAAGCAAAACACAATTTTATAAACAATAGCTTACATATTAGTGAAGAAAAAGTTGATTTCTATTAATTTTTTCTGATAGAGAAGATGTGAGGACTGCAATTGTTGAAAACAAGAATTAAAAATGTATATCGGCATATTCAAGTATTAGATGAAGAATTAAATAAAGAAAAACAAAATTTTAGGCAGCCACATTATTTTTTCATTCTCATTTTTCTACTTATTTTTAATCACACATTTTTCAATAAATTAATATTTTTCATCACATCAATAACATTTCCTTCTTTTTCAACCACATATTCTCTATTACATCAACAGTAAAAATGCATTTTTTTTTTCCAAAAATGTGCACCAAACGAAGGCTTGATTTCGCTGAAAGCATTTTCAAGTTTGCAAGAGTCGAGGGGATTAGGCCAAACCAATGCACAAAATGTCTGGTAATCAAGCAGCAGAAAGTAACAAGGGAGTTGCTCGATCTTCACGGTTTTGTTAGTTATAACTTAGCGTGGCTATAGTACGAACCTCCAAGCATTAAGTTTTACCACAATTTGTTGCCTCGAGAGTCCCTCTCAGTCATACCGAGGTAGGGGTGGATATGATTCGGTTCGGTTCGGTTCTAAAGACAACATAAGCAAATTTGAAATTTTCGGGTATTTAGTAAATGGAACTGTCGGGTTTTAATTTAATTATGGAACTGTTCGAGTTCGGTTCGGTTTGGTTCGATTCCGAGATTCAGTACAATAATTAATTTTTTTTTTATGACAACAACGCTACATTAATTCGACTATGATATATTTAATCTTAACTCTTACAAAATAACGTTATTTTATCTCGTGATATCTTTTGCACATCTCTTTGTTGAATTTTTCATAGATTTGACAGTTAAAAATCACAAGAAGAGAAAGATGGCTAGTTCAAAATAATACAACGATAGAAATAACATTAAGGTAGAATAAGAGATTTAGGTAAAACTTATGTCAATTTGATCAAGTTGGATTTTGCTGAAAACTAAAAATAGTAATATCATATTGTGTTTGGACCAAATTAATTAGTTAGCAATTTATTTTAAAAAATAGAATAATTTTGACTTATTTAAGATTAAATTTTAAAAAAAAAATTAGGGAGATTCGGTTCTTGATCTAGAATCGAGAATCAAACCAAACATGTCGGTTCTTAATTCAAATACACGTTCAAGTATTTAACTTCAAAAGAATCGCTTGATTCGATTCAATTCGATTCGGGAGTTTTGTCAAACCCTAGACCAAGGCTTACACACAAGCAAAGCTACATTTGTCACATCGGATGAGAATTTAAATAATTCTTCTAATCTTTCTCCAGTATTTGGTGCAATTAATACTTGGATTAAATAATTCGAGGTGTTTATCCTTTTTTATTCAACCGTAATATGTAATGTGGGGGTGGTTATTTATTCACCAATTTATGAATTAAGAAAATATTGGTTAAGTTGAATTACATAAATTTACTCTAAGTAAATAAGGATTTCACTTATAAGTAAAAAAAATCCTTAAAAATAACTTATAATCAAAAAATTTAATTACAAGTAAAAATTCACTTATAAGTACAAAATTTGTGTTTGGGGTAAAATATTACTTATGAGTAAATAACTTATAAGTTATAAAAATACTTTCATAAATAGAAAATCACTTATAAGTTTATAAATAAATTTTAATTAAAATATTTACTCATACGTAAAAGAAAATCACTTATATGTAAAAAAAAATTGTCTGTAAGTAAAAAAAAGTACTAATTCTAACTAAAAATTCAATTATCAGTAAAAATATATATATTTCATAACTAAAAATTTCTTATAACAGAAAAGTTCATTTAGTATGTAAAAATTTGCTTCAATGAAAAATGCTACTAGTAACTTCAAAACTCACTTGTAAGACAAAAATTTACTTATAAGTACATAAAGTCACTTATATTTTAAAAATTCACTTATATATAAAAATTACTTATATGTACAAAATTTACTTATAACTGTAAAATTGACATTTAATTAAAAAATTCAATAATAAGTAAAAAAATTACTTACAAGTAAAATAATCACTTATAAGTTAAAATTTTATTTATTTTAAACATTCACTTATATGTAATCAAATTACTTATAACCAAAAATTTCAAACAAGAAATTATTAGTAAAAAAGTTCACTTATTAATAAGTAACAAAAAATATGGTCATAGATTTTTAAATTTTTTATTACGTACGGTCTTCCAATACATAGTAGCATCAAACTTGGGATTAATCCTCCCTAATCCACCTTTATACAATCCTCTCTAATACTCCTAATCATATCCCTCCAAATCTTAGCCCCCATTTGGCCGTCTTTATTTGATATTATAATTTTTGGAAGAATATATTTTCTTAAAAATGTGCAGTTAATAAAGAAGAAAAAGTTTTAAGTTTATATGTAATATTATTTTATTTGAGAATATGTTGTTGATAAAAAGAGAAAAAAATGATTATAATATTAATGGGAGCTTACTCTCGTGATCTAATATGGTGTGCTAAGGGTACGTTTGGTTGCAATGCTGGAAAATGGGTGGAAAGAAAATGAATTACAGGAAAATAATTGGCTAGAAATTATTTTGCAGGGAATTGTTAATTAAGTGTGTTTGATTGATATAATTTTTCACCCGAAAAATTTTAAAATTTTATGTCCGTTTGACTTTATTTTACATGAAAATTGTTCATTAAAGTAATAATTTTTTCCATAATTGGTTATAAAATTTGTTTCCATTGCCAAAAAGTAAAAAAAAAAAAAAAAAAAAAAAAAAAATTGTAAAATAAAAAATAATTTTTTTTTAAAAAAATTTATTGGTTATAAAAAAAAAAACAAAAACAAATTTTTTTTTTCAAAGTTTAGTGTTTGTTTGACTTTATTTTACATGAAAATTGTCCATTAAAGTGAATTTTTTTTTTACAATTAGTTATGACATTTGTTTCCATTATAAAAAAAATTAAAAAAATGGAACCAATCGCCTGGAAAATCATTTTCTCGCCAAAAAGGTGGAAAAATGAATTCTACAAAATCAAGCAAAAGAGGCGCGTGAGCCTCTCCCCAAGAAAATGTTTTGCCTGCAAAATTTTGCACATCGAACACCTCATTTGGCTGGAAAAGGAAATAAAATTCCAAGTTCCCAAAAAAATAAAGCAAATCAAACAGGGCCTAAATGTACCTATAAAGCTCAAAAAACCAAGAAACCCCCAACTTTTTTTAATTCGAAATAAAGGAACTTAGGTAAATGCCAACTCGACACACTTGTCAAGTGCCTAAGCAACCCAATCTTTTACACAAAAATGTTTTACCTGGCACAATGTGTCGATTTTATAAATTATTACTCCTAAAACAAATGCAGAAATACAAACCTATTTATGGTAAATTCAGCTAATGGTAGGAAGAGGTGGAGAAGTGCCAAAATTTTTATGAAATGATATGAAAAAGAGTTCCATTTTCAATGTTGAATTGCAATAATCGAGAAGACAACTATGAGATAATAAAGTTCATACCCTCCATGGAGAACATTTACACCAGTTTTTCTTGAATTTGGCCAGAGATCCAGCTCTATAACTCTTACCCCTTTTCTCAGAGCCTTAACGATGGGGCGGATGCTGCTCTTACTGTAAACTTGATTCCCAGTTAGGTAAGAATTGTGCCCCGTATACATAAAGTAATGATACAAAGGAGCCTTCATGTCATGGTGGACCTGAACATATCATAGAAAATTCCTATAAAGGGCATTTTAAATATAAATTTCTCGAGTATATGGTTCAACAATATTGGAAATTAACGTGAAAAGAAATTAGGGAAGGGGGAAAATAAAAACCTTTGTTGATAATGGGAGATTGTGATCGCTAAGTAGATATCGAAAGAAGGCTTCAACGTGAAGTCCCTTTCGTGGGAAGAGGTGCAAATGCCTCAGGTTGTTCATAATTTCTTGCGCCTGTTCCTTGGAGGCATCATATTCCTTTTGAAAATCTTTTAAGAAAGTATGCAAATTGTTAACAGTCATTAATTCATCTTCAGAATATTGCTGGAAAATTTCTTTGATATCACCATGAACTTGAGGTGAAACTAGATTGAAATGGCGCCAGAAACAGCAGCACACCCTGAAGTGTTGCTTCAACATTTGTCCCTGCTTGTGAAAGAGAGATTGGGCAAACAGTACGTATTAATGTTCCCTTCTTGCTTGCAATACAAAATAATCTTCCTTTAGTTGACAAGAACAGATTATAAAATGGTCCCAGAAGAAAGAGACTACTTTATTCCATCTGAAACTTCTGAATGAGGAAATGTAGAACAAACGTAAGGATCTTAGGAGTTCTTACATGTACCTCACATGTAGTTGTTTTTCACATTTTCTCTACACTTTCGGACCACGAAGTGTAAGTTGGAAGAATATAGACCGAAGTTAAGCAATTATTGTCTTCAATACACCTCCACGTAGGCATGTTTCGTTTTTGTTTCATTGAAGTCTTTTACGTGTATATTCATTAATCTAAAAGTTTAATTAAAATTCATTCAACTCCAAGTGTCAAGTCAAAATACGGTCCATTTTAACAAAATAATTGAAATTCAAGAGAGTATTTTATAAAGGAGTGATCGCCTTTAGACATTGCGCACACACAAACGCACACATATTCATATATAGAGGAGTTAATAGGGGATAGACTCCGTGTTTGTCATTTCATAACTCAAGTCAAGTCCTATATTAGTGACCTGTTAAGCAATTAGGTGATTAGTCATATTGCTGGAGAATAATCATAGAGCTACCTTTGCAACAGACTAGCTAGTAACACTAAAGCATATAAATTAAGTGCTTGTGTGTAACCGATTATTTGAAAAATGGTTCTTTTGAAGAATTTTGGTTAAAAAGTTGAAAAAAAAAGTGATAAACGATTTATTGTTTTTTAAACTCAAGTCTCGCGGATCCCTTTTCTATCAAGGCCCGCACATAAATATTTCTTGAAAAATTACTTTAATAAATTCTTGTTATCATGGCCTCCAGGTTTCAATAGGGGTGTGAATTTGACTCGTCAACTCTTCGGCCAATGGTTCGGTTTAAGAAAAGCCCTAGTCGACATGACTTGCTGCCTGGTTCTACTGAGCTGAGGCTCTAGCCAAGGCCCAATTTGGAGTGTTGGCCCGAGCCAACCCGTGAGCAAATTTATATAAAAAAAAAAAATTAAAACTTTGGTTGCTACCTGCAATACAATGCAGTAGGCAGCTGCGTGGCTGCCTGTCGCAATGGCAGCAGCACTGTCTTTTTTAAAAAATATAAAAAATACAACGAGGCTCGGCTCAATAAGGCCGAGCCAAAAACTCAGGTCAAGCCTATATTTTTTGGCCGAGCAAAAGTTTGGTTTGACTTGGATTAAAAAAAGTTCGAACCATTTTTACTCGAGTCGAGCCCGAATTTCAAGTTTCAGCTTGCAAAATGCTCGATTCGACTCGACTCAACTCATTAACATCCTTAAATTTCACACAACAAAAATTTATTGTATAGCATTTCAAAACAGCCTCTTGTTCTTTTTTTGTGTTTTGATACACATTATACGTGAACACTAGTTCTGGAGCTCCTTTAGTTTTACAAATTAATTCTTGATCCAATGCATTTTTCAGTAAGGTTATACGACCACTGTATTTTCGTGATTTTTGTACCAAGATTTGGTCTAGTTATTTAGTTTAATAGTTGGGCTTAAGTTTGGATTAACAGGTTGATCCAACTAAGTCTATATTTTCATGTCTTGGGTTGACGAATCTAGGGACAATTTTGATAGCAAAGAAATTAGAAACACGGTATCTCTTCACTATCCATCGTGTCTCCGTGCGCACAAGCATGCACGGAGACACCACTGGACATTTTTTTTTCTAGAGCCAATGGAATTTCTTATAGGTCATGTTTCTGCTATAACTAAAAAATGTTCAAATGCGCTCACAGTGTAATTCCAGCGTCTTCCAGCTCCAAATCTTCAAACTTATGCCAGTCAAGAGGGTTTGGCGAATTTTAGAAACCTATAGGAATAGATGGTGTTAAGGTAAACAAATAGTCAGGGTCTTTGTGTCAACTATGTGAACTCGTCTTTCGATGGTTTTGGAAACAAGTCTTCCTTTTTTTCTCAAATAAGGTCAATCTTCGTCGGGGGCGTTGCCCCCGAACCCCCACAAGTGGCGCTGCCCCCTCAACTTGACCTACGAGGCGTTGCTCCCGAGCCCCACAAAGGGCACTGCCCTCGACCCCGCGACCGACACATCGATGTCGTTTCGAAGCGGCAAACCATTTGAATAACAACAGTAAACAAATAAATAAATTATGAAAAAATATATTATCTCCAAACTAATAGCTTTCTACTAAATTTGAAGTTTGCTCAATAAGGTTGTATTCTGATGACCGGCAAAACTTTAGCAATAAAACTTGCCAAAGTTTCTCTNTTCAAATTTCTCATCATTAGAAGTTTAAACTAAGTAATTAGTTCCTAACTTAAGCAACTTGAATCTAAACAAATAACTAGCTAAAATGTGCCAAGTATGAGTAATTAACTCTTCATTTAAGCTCCTAAAACATTTACAATCAAATATAAAAGAAAATCATTAAATCATTGATTATATCTTGTTAAGAATACATTTGTGACGCAATTAATACCAAATCTTCATATGAAAAATCGAAAAGATACAAAGAATATAGACGACAAGTGAGTTGAAAATGAGTTTTGAAAGAATGTGTACTAAACAGGGGCTAAGTTGAAGTAAAAATGTTTCTTTTCTATACTTTTATCGTGGTTGATTATTTCACTCGTTTTTGGGTAAGGACTTGCTATTTGAATAAGGTTATAAATTTATGTTTTACCATTTAGTATTGTATTGTCTTTGAGATTTATTCAACGAAAAGGTATTGAAAAAGTCTGCTTTTTGAAGGCTTGGTGTTAATTAAATTGGTCGGATCTTGTGTAGGATGGTTTTATTTTTTAATTATATGCTTGCTGGAGTCTTTAAGTTATATTTTATATTGAGATTTCGATTGGATATTTGATCGTGTGTACATGTGACTTCATAGCTAGATAAAGGATTGGATGAGAAGAAGGAATAGGATTCTTGTGACAGTGAAGGAAGAATGAATGACTTTCTAATGATAAATTGTTGCGTCGTGGTTTTCATTTTGTTGATTGTATCTGGGTTGTGTTTGTTGTTTGATAACAATGGCTCATTGAGTTCACTTTACTGTGAGATCGGTGGATCAATTAAGCTTTATTAGATCAATATATGATTTACATTAGAATATCCATATGTAATGTGATGAGTTCACTTTCTGCCTCAACTAATCGTCCTTTTAAATTAAATATGTGATCATCAGATAATGGTGAACATTCCGTTAAGTTCAATGTAAGTTATGATTTTTATGACTCCATTTTCTCTCCTTGGATTTGGAGTAATTTAGAATTAAATGATTCAAACCATTTATGGGTCAGCATAGTTAATAGTTGAACTCAAAGTTTGTATATTTTGATGCTATACTTTTATGGATTTTAAAGATTTCCTATTCCTTTTAGTAGTTGTTCCCACTATTTGTACATTTTATTGATGGACTGTATTTCTTTTTAGCTTAAGGTTAATAAAACTATTGCAGTATCAACATCAGCTTCAGATTTAAACATTCTTGGTGTTTACTTAATGCATGAGTCATGACTTTGGCACTGTTAAACAAGAGGAGGTTAGGGACAATCTTTGGTTTAATAAATGGGCTCATACCCAATTTGTTCTTCTCATTCACCCACATATTTACTCTGTTACATTATGTATTCTTTGTAGGAATTACTTGCGGTAGTGGATAGTCAGCCATTGCAACATCTTGCCAAAATAAGAGTTCAGCATTACGGGTACGAGTTCCTTAATGAATAAGTTCTAATTCATTATCGGAAATACTTAATATTGAATTAGCCTTCCACATTATTTGATTTGATATTTTGTTTTGTTTTCCTCTTTCCATCTCCTTTACCTCTTATAGATAGGAACATTAACACAATGTAATACTTAGACGATCTTCTATCCTTCGTGTCTCCAGCCCTTGGTAGGATCAAAATTATTTGGATTGATGTTTATAGTTTTGTTTATGTTGATAACTACGAAATATTGATTACAATTGTTTTAAAAATTATCTAATAGTTGAGATTTTAATATTTCTTGGATCTCATTTAAATCTTCATTAAATTTATAACTCCCAAAAAGTGATATCTAGACAAACTTTGCAAAAGTTTTCACTTTTCACATATCCAACTCTTATAAATTCTTAAATTGTTTGCTTTTGGTTGATTCACTAAGTTGACAATACATATCGTAATTTTTCTCTATACCTAATTCATTTAACAGTATAATGAAAGATGAAAATACTCTGTTGTGAATCTGAGTGGTGGGTTAATCTTATGATATCTTTTGTCTTTGTTGCATTTATTGGAATCACATCTGATCTTAGTCTAGGACTCTTGTCACACAACAAAGTTTATCTTGAAGTTCTCAAAGTTTGGTGTGGCTCGAGATCAAGAGAATGCTAGTTAATGGATAATTATGTTTATTTTGCCTTAGGGCT